CTGAGGACTACTCTTGTGGCTCTTGGGTTCGCGCCTTCTACTGCTGACCCGTCGCTGTTTCTGCGCACCGACACGTCGCTGTTTCTGCGCACCGCCGCCGTTCTACATCCTCGTGTACGTTGACGACTTGGTCTTTGCCACTGCTGACACTGAGGCTCTCGCCCACGTGAAGTCGGAGCTGCAGAAGAGACACACGTGATGGAAAGCGAGCAAATCTGGAGAGCGTACAAGAGATTAAGTCCGCCGACTTCGACGGAAAATTGCGTGCAGCTCACGTAACCTTTAACTATGAGCAGGTACGCGTTGGAAAGGTCTTAATCTCTACTTTCCAGAATAGTAACGCACGCTTTCAACCAAGATCTAGGCCGATCGCTATCGCGATCTAAGTGCGACGGTGTATTCTGGCGGAATTAATAGGCAGCCATGGATTAGATCAAGAGACTAGCTTTAGCAAGAGTTCAGATCTGAAAAGTGACGAGTTGTTCAAACCCTACCAACCCAACCCTCGCCCTACAACAATCCCCAACAACCTAGAATGCTAAACTAGCAACACCAAAGGTGTTGTAGTGAATAGCAAAGGTTTGTTGGTGCTTGTTGGGTGCGAGATCAATTCCAGCCCGCAACAAGTCTAACCACCACATTTTGCCCAAACCCTTAGCCCACAACCAGCTAGAGCAAAATACCACAACTACCTACACAATCAACACCCCCCCTTGCTCGTGCTGGAGGTGGCTGAACACCACTGGGAAAAATCCTTCACTTCAACACGTGCACAGACCTGGGTGAACTGCGCAGCTACCTTGGCTTGCAGATCACCTGGGACAGAGCACGCCGCACCATCACACTGACTCAGTCACACATGGTGCAGCAGGTCCTTCAGCGCTTTGGCTTCACCTGGTCCTCAGCACAGGCCACTCCTCTGGCTACAGGTCACTCGCTCTCAGCTCTGCCTTCGGATGAGTCCGTAGAGCCGAGTGGTCCTTACCCAGAGCTAGTTGGCTGCCTCATGTACCTGATGACGTGCACTCGTCCTGACCTAGCATACCCTCTTGGCCTTCTGGCCCGCTACGTGGCTCCTGGTAGGCACCGAAAGGTGCACTGGGATGCTGCAAAGAGGGTACTGCGCTACTTGTGCAGTACATCGGGCATGGGGCTCGTGCTTGGAGGGAGGAGCTCAGTTGTTCTCACTGGGCACTCAGACGCTTCTTGGGTTGACGACCAGGCTACTCAGCGGTCGTCACAGGGTTACACCTTCAGCCTTGGCTCTGGCTCAGTTTCCTGGCGTTCTACACGTTCGTCTTCAGTTCTCAGCTCCAGTTGTGAGGCTGAGATCTACGCCACAGCCATGGCTGCACAGGAGTTACGCTGGCTCACCTACCTGCTGACCGACCTGGGAGAGCGGCCTCGTTCTCCTCCAGTGCTGTACGTCGACAACAAGGCTGCCATTGCCTTGTGTGAGGAGCACAGACTGGAGCACAGAACGAAGCACATCGCTCTACGTTACTTCCTGGCTCGAGAGTTGCAGCAGCGTGGTCAGCTTCGTCTGCGTTACGTGGCCACTCAGGCCAACACTGCTGATATATTCACCAAGGCACTTCAGTCTGGTGATCATCAGCGTTTCTGTACTTTGCTACGGCTTGTGCCCACTTTTCCTCACTTGCTGTAGGCTTTGCTTGTACTGTGATCTATATATATATACCTGCATGTTTGCACTGCTAGATAGAGATCACTGTGCTGTTTGTGTTGCATATATGCCTCTGCATGTGAACTGGCCTTGTGGCCCTTTGCCTGTGCTCAGAGTGTGTGGTGACGTTGTGATCCACCCTGAGCTTGCTTTGCCTTTCTTGACTGGTCTTGTGACCCCCTTTGATCTCCCCCACTTTGCCTATGGGGGTGTGTCAAACATTATATATGTCATAGTTCTGTAGGCTATAGTGGGTTTAGCCTTAGGGGGTACACAATTCTAGGTTTTCCTACTTGTACTCTCAATCTTCCTAGTGCAACCACTCCTTCTCATTCTAACACCTTCATCTCACGTTACGTTGCCTCCGTCTTTTGGACTTGTCTAAGGCTGCTTCACAGATTAAGGTTCGCGACAAGTCACAGACGATGTAAAACCTTGTTCTAAGTTATTGCGTACGTTCCCTCAAGCAATCTTAAAAACAGCATAGGCGCCATGTGTTTTACTCGAATCTGTGGCCACACCATATCCAGAAGTAGGAGCATCACCTTCTCTCGGATAATGTTTAATTGGCTAGCAATCCAGGATATGCGTTCTGGTTCGTTTGATACGTGCACCCTTTATTTCTCTTCTCCGATCCTTGCGGTCGATAGTAAGTTTGCTTGATTTCGATCCGCCTATCATAACATCGTAGGCGACTAACATAATCTAACTGTGCCCTACGACTTACCTTCCGCATGATTGATCGTGCATTTTCTAGGTTGTCGTTTATCAACCATGTTACGAAATCCTTTCGTTGGTCTACACAGAATGCTAAGCTTTAGTCACCCTGCACATGTGTTTCATCCACATTTTTTAGTATAATCCACCCTTTTCTTGTCTATCCTTTATTCGCCTGCCTTTCATGTGTCTCTTATCTGATTTTTTCAAACTTCCATCACTCGCAAACTATTGTGTAGACAGAGACCATGTGTGCACAATGTTCAGAAGTTCTCTTTCAAGGTGATCTCACTGATTTACAGATGCAATGTATGGTATATGCCTTGTATTGTTGCACATCCCTTGTTTGGGTTGCATCAAACTACTTACCTTTGATTCTTTCACCTTTGCAATTATGTGTTATTTAAACAGGGCATTTCTTGGGCAACAGACGGGGGAGATCCACATTTACCAAGGAATTACTATTTAATTCAAAAGTAACTTCTATTTTTGGCTGACCTTTTCTCATTTTAGGAATGTTTTGTAATGTAAACATACCTAATACAAAATTATCTGCTGATTTTGCTCTCTGACCTTGTAGTATTTTAATAACAACTTCTGTTTGATTATCTTCATATGTTGTATATGTTTCATCCGTAAGTGCTGCTAGAGATGAGATAGAGAAATATGGCGATAAGTTCAACTTTAGGCCGTGGTATAGGGACAACAGGCCAGAACCCCTTGACGTGCGTTGCCCTTCTACGAAAGGAAAAGATTGGCACAAGAATGAGGCCAAAGCACCTGAGGGATTTTGTCCGTTTCGGATTGTAGCTACCGGGCCACGAAATTGCTGCTTTAGTGTGAGATCTGTGACGCTGCAGCATGCACATACGTGTGTGCCATGCCCAGGTCGGATTAGGAGGGAACAGGTTAAGCAATTGGTGCGTAAAGTACATCCTCATACAGTCATTAGACCCATTGGACTACGACATATGGTGCGGGAAAAGTTAGGCGTCGACTGCTGCAATGCTACGTGTGGCCGGTCAATAGATGATGTCACTCGAGAGGATCGTCTAGGTGGAGAGTCAGGTTTCCAATACATTGGTAGCATCTTAGATGTTTTCAAGCGAAATAACCCATCAAGCATTGTGTCATTGAAGCTGGATGAGAAGAGGCTCTATTGTGCTGCAGTGATTTACCCAGGAGTCCGTGAGATAGTGAAAAATTGCTTTCCAATCATATTTGTAGACGGATGTCACAACAAAGGTAAATGGCGGGGCCATTCCCTGAATGCATGCATGATAGATTGCGAACATAAGCTGGCGAGGTTAGTTAGTGCGTGGGTAGAAGGTGAGAGTGCGAATTCGTGTGAGTATTTTTTGAGCCAGCTGAAGGTAGCTGCCCCTGAGATCAACACTGCGAGGTTTACATTGATGCATGATCGCGGTAAAGCATGGAAAGCAGCTGCTGCCAGAGCGCTGCCAGGGGCGTGTGAGTCATTTTGCATCACACACTTGGTGAGGAATTTAAATTCAATGTTTGGTTCCGACTGTGATGGCAAGATCGAGCTCGCGGCTGCAGCATTGACCAGAGATGTGTTGCGGGGCTACATGGACAAAATCGAGGAAGAGTGCCCTGGGGGGAAGCAACACTTGGAGAGGGATGGATAAGCCGCACATTGGGTTACCTTTCTGTTTGGTGCGTCACATTTTGGGTGCTATACTTCAAACCCGGTGGAGTCGCATCATGCCTCTATGCATATGTGGAGGAGGGACAATCCAGCCCAAGTATTGCTTTCATTTGTAACACAGCAAGCGAATGCAATGGAAGAGGGTCGTGGGCTGTATGGGACTCTCGGGGTAGCTGATCTCCCCCCCAAAACAGCAGCTATCATTCGTGCTAATTGTCAAATGGGGACTCAGTACAAGGTGGAGAAGACTGGCAGAAGCTCATACCATATGAGCCGTGACACTGGAGCCAAGGAGGAGCGTTTGGTGGTGATGGAGGCAGCGGATCCAGAGAAGGCGCAGTGCACATGTAATTATTCGAAGTGAGTTATGTGTTTAGGCTGATTCTTGAAGTACTTGTCACTTGGTGTTATGCACCTGGTGTTAGGGTTGTCATTACATGCATTACCTTTTTGTGATCTCTGGCCTTCTCTTGATGTTTGTCATCTAACAGATCCTGACATTTGTTTCACACCCATTTGATTTTCCCGTACTCTTGCAGAGAGTATGGGCTGCCTTGTATGCACATGTTTGCAGTACTGCTCCACAAAATCCGGCCGGCGCATGGCAACGAGTTTGCGGATGTCCAACAGGTGGTTCAAGCCATGATCCACAGGTGTTACACATCAACCGCTTTGAAGGAGCTCTACAACACGGAGATTCGCACTCTAGACCGCACAGAGATAGTACCAGACAAAACAGTTGAGCCACCAGTGTACCCGAAGAAGTTGGGAAGGCCACGCATCAATCGGTTGAGATCCCATGGTGAGATTGATGGCAGGAAGCTGCGTAGATGTGGGAAGTGTGGGGAGAAAGGGCATAATAGTCTGACTTGTGATTTGCGCAAACAATTGAGAGACACATGGGAGGCACTTCACACTCTGGAAGGGCACATGAGTGTGCAAACAGCTACGCAAGCAGAGGCTCGAGTGAATGTGGCGCTGTGTAGTACATGCAATAGAAGTCACCACAGGGATGTACTGTGCGAGCCTAGGAGGCAACATCGTGAACATGAACAACCTCAGAATGGGGGGGGGGGGGGGGTGATGGCCGGCAACGCGACTCACGTGGCAGATGGTGAGAATGGAGATGTTGAAGTATCAGACGAGGAGGAGGACGGCAGTTCAGAGTCGGAGGGGGAAATAGAAGAGCAGCCAATGGATGCGGGTGCTGGTGTCCAACAGGCTGTCCCATCAGTACTTCGTGAAGTATTTAAGGAGGCATTTAACGGACTTAATCATTCGGGAAACAATGGAAACATGCGCTCGGGGGGTGTGGGATTATCAAATCCAACAACAGCAGAGAGTGGGGGATTGGGGGAGATGGGAGGAGCATCCGAGAGTGGAGGATTGGACAAGCGGGGAGGAGCAGGCGATAGCGGGGCGGGGAGGGGAGGAGAAGAAAGCGGGGCAGGGAGGGGAGGAGCAGCCGAGAACGAGGCGGGTAGGGGAGGAGCAGCAGGGAGCGAGGCGGGGAGGGGAGGAGCAGCAGGGAGCGAGGCGGGGAGGGGAGGAGCAGTCGAGAGTGGGGTAGGGAGGGGAGGAGCAGCAGGGAGCGAGGCGGGGAGGGGAGGAGCAGTCGAGAGTGGGGTAGGGAGGGGAGGAGCAGCAGGGAGCGAGGCGGGGAGGGGAGGAGCAGTCGAGAGTGGGGTAGGGAGGGGAGGAGCAGCAGGGAGCGAGGCGGGGAGGGGAGGAGCAGTCGAGAGTGGGTTAGGGAAGGGAGGAGCAGCAGCGAGCAAGGCGGGGAGGGGAGGAGCAGTCAAGAGTGGGGTAGAGAGGGGAGGAGCAGCAGGGAGTGGGGCGGGTAGGAGAGGAGCAGCAGGGATCGAGGCAGGGATGGGAGGAGCATCAGCAGGGACAGGGAGGGGAGGAGCAGCAGGGAGCGAGGCGGGGAGGGGAGGAGCAGCCGCGAGTGGGGTAGGGAGGGGAGGAGTAGCAGGGAGCGGGGTGGGTAGGGGAGGATCAGCAGGGATCGGGGCAGGGAGGGTAGGAGCAGGGAGCGGGGCGGGGAGGGGAGGAGCAGAGAGCGGGGCCGGGAGGGGAGGAGCAGCAGTGAGTGGGGCGGGGAGGGGAGGAGCGGCCGAAAGTGGGGCGGGGAGGGGAGGAGCAGAAAGTGGGGATGGGAGGGGAGGAGCAGCAGTGAGTGGGGCGGGGAGGGGAGGAGCAGCAGGGAGCGGGGCGGGTAGGAGAGGAGTAGCAGGGAGTGGGGAAGGGAGGGGAGGAGCAGTGAGAGGGGCGAGGAGGGCAGGGGCATCAGGGAGCAGGGCGGGGAGGGCAGCGGCAGGGAGCGGGGCAGGGAGGGGAGAGACAGCCGAGAGTGGGGTAGGGAGGGGAGCAGCAGGGAGCGGGGCGGGGAGGGGAAGTGCAGGATGGAGCGGTGGAGTGACGGGTGAGATGGAAATTGACCACAACAATCCCACACCTGGTGACACCTCGCAAAACAATGGTGACAATGTGGTTCGTTTCAGACTGAGGCGGATGCAACACGTTTGTCAGCAAATACAAGTGGCACCCGAACCGAGAAATAGGAATCAAATGCCAGCGGCTGTGGTGGAGGAAGGGACAGGGGCGGACTCAGAGGCAACGGGCCATACAAACCAGACCCCAGTACCTGAGACACAACAATCAATCGTTGTGGATAACCCAGCGGACCACAGCGGGGAAATGCGGGATGAACAGCAGCATTTGAAGTTGGGGCAGAAGCGACGCCGCCTGTTGAGAAGGTTGCAGATGCAGAAACTACATCAGATACGGAAACAGCTGCAGGGTGTGACTCAGCAGGGACAGCAGCAGCAGCAGCACCGCCAGTGGCAGCAGCAGCAGCAGCAGCCGCAGCAGCAGCAGCAGCCGCAGTAGCAGCAGCAGCAGGGACAGCAGGAGCGGCAGGGACAGCAGGAGCGGCAGGGACAGCAGTAGCAGCAGGGACAGCAGGAGCGGCAGGGACAGCAGCAACAGCAGCAGCAGCACGGACAGCAGGAGCGGCAGGGACAGTAGGAGCAGCAGCAAGGACAGCAGCAGCAGCAGCAGCACCGCCAGTGGCAGCAGCAGCAGCAGCCGCAGCAGCAGCAGCAGCAGCTGCAGCAGCAGCAGCAGCAGGGACAGCAGGGGCGGCAGGGACAGCAGCAGCAGCAGGGACAGCAGCAGCAGCAGGGACAGCAGGAGCGGCAGGGACAGCAGCAACAGCAGCAGCAGCACGGACAGCAGGAGCAGCAGCAGGGACAGCATACCCATCAGGGACAGCAGGAGTGGCAGGGAAAGCAGCAGCAGCAGGGACAGCAGGAGTGGCAGGGACAGCAGCAGCAGCAACAGGGACAGCAGGAGTGGCAGGGACAGCAGCAGCAGGGGCAGCAGATGCTGCTGCAGAATGCGCAGCAGGGAGGGCTGCAGCAACAGGGAGAGCTGCATGAGAGGGGCCAGCCACAACAGCAGCATGATTTTGGGCTACATCTGGAGCAACTGCTGCAGGTATTGCAACAACAAATCCAAAAACAAAACCACCAACAGTGGCCTCAATCTCAGCAGCAGCAGCAAGAGCAACACGAGCATCTGTAACACAGTCAAAAACAAAAGAAACAATTGCAGCAGCAATGACAGGAGCAGCAGAAGACAGTGCAATGAATGCATCACCAATAGCAACAGCAACAGGCAGGGTTGTGGCTGCAATCCTCTTCGCTGCAACAACAATGGTGAACCTTGTGAAACTAGAATATGGCCTTGAATCATTGTTGACATATCACAACGTATGAAACAAAGCCTTGTCAACCATCTCCCACTCCTTGCAACCACTCCTGGCTCTCGCTCCATGCTTCTGGTACCTGCTACAACTCCCTGCTCCCACTCACTGCTGTGATCCTGTACTAAATGAGAGTCGTGAATTTTTTTAAAATTATCCAACCATGGAAACGTTGTGGTCTTTTTTTTTCCAGAAGTATGTAGTGGTATTTGTTGATGGATGCATGTCATCACTATAATGTGCAACTCTGAAAAGCACTACGTTCTGAAAATGAAGCATTGTTGTTTCACATCAGAAATATATTACACAACACCACCTAGTAGCAAGCACACCACCCTATCCTTACCCACAATTACGCATTCGTTATTCAACAGAGGGATCACACCTTTGAATATTTGTTTCTAAGTTGTTTGTAATCTCTTATGGTGCTAGTTTCCTCTATTTCCTGCATGTTTGTACTTACCCATATATCAATACAAGGACTGCATGAGAAAGAGAGAGAGAGAGAGAGAGAGAGAGAGAGAGAGAGAGAGAGAGAGCGAGAGAGAGAGAGAGAGAGAGAGAGAGAGAGAGAGAGAGAGGGGGTTGGCCTCTGCCCTCTGCCATTAGCCTCTGCCCTTAGTAGCCTAGCTATTTAAGGGCATGTGCTAGCTTCCTTTGCTCATTATTCATTTGGCGGCTGCATTTTTTCGCTCGCACCGGCCGCCTTCGGCAGCCGACGCTCGACGGCGCGGCCTTCGGCCGCGCGTGAGGGACGGCAAGGAAAAACACACAGTGACAATCATAGGCGCAGCCAATACACGCATGGCATCACAAACAGATTTCAGAACTTCCTAGAGCGGGGATGGGGCAAACGGAGCCCGCATCTACATGCGGTGAGCTCCAAGGGCGTGAAGAACGCCCGTCAGGGTCCGCCACAGCTCCCGGACCACAAGCGTGCTTGCGCCGATCACGGCGGCTCCAGAACCTGCACGCAAATGGCGCCTCAGGCTGCGTACAGCCTCATGGAGCTGTCCAGCAGCCGCAACTCCACCCTCTGCGGGCGCAGCCAGCATGGGCGCCAGCAGCACTGCGAGCTGGTCGGCTGCGTCCAGGCACGACTCACGGTGGCGATCCTGGAACGTCTCAGGGGGAACTGCAGGAAGTGACGAGTGTGCGAGAACCTGTATCAGGAGCAGAGCGTGAAAGCTCTCCGCGAGGCGGAAGAGCTGGGCGAGAGTCGCCTCTGGAACACGGGACTGTGGAGGCTGTAATGCCTGCGCTAGAAACGGCTCCTCGAGGGCAAGGGTTGCTGAACCGCCAACTCTGGGATGAGGATACTGCGTTTCTCCTCTCGCGGCCACAAATTCGACTCCCGCCACTGGCGGAACGGGCGGCAGATGAAGCCAAGACCCAGGAACAGGAGCGGAGGCAGACGCAGCGTGAGCCGACGGGGCCGGAATCTGATGAGGGACTAGTGCATCAGGCGGCGGATTCTCAGGAAGCACAGCCTGTCGAGGAGCAGCATGGGCCACGACAGTGTGAGGAGCTGCCCTGGGTCAGGGCGGCCCTCTCCTCATGCACCGCAGTTGACACCGCCCGCTGCAGACCCGCCATCCTCACGGGCGGATCGTACGCCCCACCACCTCCGCGACCGCGGAGACCCCACCAGCGACCGCGACCGCCGCGGTTCGCGTGCCACTGGGCCTGCTGATGGTGGCGACGGGGAGAATTGCGCCGGCGCCGTGAGGACTCACGATCCTGGTGGGGAGCGGGAGAATGGGGGCGAGATGGGCGGCGGCCAGGCGACGGCGGGCGAGACGGCTGCGCCACTGGAGCAGTGGGTGGCACCACGGGTGCAGCCGGATCCCCAACCGGCGGCGCAACCAATGAGGCCGGGCCGCCAGTGGTGGCGGACGCTGCCTGCGGGGACGAGGCAGAGGCAGGAGTCGGCAACTCAGGCGCGGCAACAAGTCCCGCAGGCGCGGGAGCCGAGGGGTCGGCGACAGACTCCGGCGGTGCAGCAGGGGGCGCCTGGGGATCAGCCGGCACAGCCGGGGCGGACGGCACAGCAGCAGCAGTTGCAGGAGTCTGAGCGACAACAGTCGCAGTTGAACCAGGCGCATCCGTGACAAGGAGAGCCGCGGGTCTGGGGCGAGGAATCTGTAAAACATTGTATATGTTTCTGTTTTGTAGGCTACAGTGGGTTAGCCTTTAGGGTGTACATTTCTCTAGGGTTTCATACTTGTACTCCCAAATGTTTCTAGTTGATCACTTCTTGTTTCTGACATGGTATTAAGAGCTTAGGTTCTAGACCTAGGACTTACCTAAGGGCCCACCGTTAGAAGTGCCCTCGAGCGCCGTATCAACTTAGCGCCCTCGAGCGCCGCTCTCCTAGTGCGCCCTCGTGCGCCTCTCCTTCTCCTGCTGCCCGTGCGCAGCTCGCTAGTGCCGCGCGCGACCTTTTTTTTTTTTTTAGCGTGCGTCGCCCGCTAGCAGCCCGCGCGCGGCCGTTTCTGCACGCGCGCCGACCGTTAGCCGCCCACGCCGCCACGAGCAGCCTGCTAGCCACCCGTCGACCGGCCCTCCTGGCCGCGCGTAGCCAGCTAGCGGCCCGCAGCCCCGCGCGTAGGCCGCGTCGCCCTCGTAAGCCGCCGCCCGCGCGCGACTGCAGCCCACGCACAGCCGCGGACCGCCCGCGACAGCAGCCCGCGCACAGGCCCACCGTCGCGCCGTGCCGTGTAGTCTAGTCCGAGCCGCGCCGCGCCGCCCTGCCCGAGCCGCGCCGCCCGAGTCGCGCCGCCCGAATCGCGCCGCCCTGACCGAGCCGCGCCGTCCCACCTGCAGCAACTACTGCTCCTGTTCCTGCTACTGCTACTGCTACTACTGCTACTGCTACTACTGCTACTGTCACTACTGCTACTGCCACTATGGCCACTCCTACTGTTCTCACCGCTGAGGGCCGTCCGATTAAGTTCGATGTCTGGCTCGATGACCTTCACCTGTACCTCCAGATCACTGCCAAGGACGATGTTTCCCTCTATGACCACACGTCCGGCGCTGCTCCCGCACCTGCTGCTACTGCTGACAGTACTGCTCGCTCACAGTGGCAGACTCGTGACGCCCATGCTCGCCTAGCCGTTCGCAACCACCTGCCGTTAGATGAGCGCGAGCACTTCGGCCAGCATAAGACCGCTAAGGAGCTGTATGATGTTGTAGTTGCCTGCTACTCCTCCCCTGCCACTGCTGCGATAGGCCGTCTCTCGCTGCCCTACCTCTTCCCCGATCTGTCTGCCTTTGCCACTGTAGCTGACCTCATCACTCACCTCCGTACTAGTGATCTCTGCTACCGTGCCGCACTCTCCCCCGATTTCCTAGCCAAGAACCCCCCCCCCCCCCCCCGATGTACCTCACCCTCTACCACCTGGTCACTCGCCTCCCTGACTCTCTTCGCACTGTCAGGGACCACTTTCTCGCTCTCTCCCCCACAGACCTCACTGTCGACCTGCTCGAGAAGGAACTCCTAGCAGCTGAGAAGAGCATTGTAGCTGTAGGTGCCTCTCGTGGCGACCCTCGCACACCCTTCTTTGAGGGATGCTCCCCCTCCCCCCTTCTCCCCTCCATTGCATCTGCTGCTGCTGTCGACTACATCGGTGCTCAGGGGGTCGGAGCTGCGTTCGCTCCCAGTGGGAGGCGCAAGGGCGGCAGGGGCAAAGGGGGAGGAGGCGGCGGCGGGGGAGGTGGTGGTGGAGGGGGTGGAGGGGGCGGCGGCGGTGGCGGCAGTGGTGGGAGTGGTGCTGGTAGTGGGGGGGGCAGTGGCGGAGCCGGGGGTGGTGGAGGCGGCGGTGGTGGAGGTGGAGGTGGTGGTGGTGGCAGTGGTGGCGGCGGTGGAGCTGGTGGAGGGCGCGGTGGAGCGGTGCAGCGTGGCGGGTTCGACGGCGGCCAGAGGCAGCAGCAGCAGCGTCCCAGCGAGCCCCAGTCGCCCCAGCAGCTCCGTGAGTGGTACTCTCAGCGTGGGGGGTCTGGGGGTGGAGGTACCTGCCCGTACGTCATCCGCACAGGTGACCGCACTGGCCAGACATGTGGGAGGTTTCACACGGCGCAGCGCTGTTTCTTTTGCCTCGACGACGCCTGGCGCGAGTAGTTTCCTGACGCCTCTGAGCTGCCCCGCTGGGCTGATCTGCTTAAGAAGGGGATTGATATCTTTGCTCTTGATTATGATGCTATCCTTGCTGCTATGTATGCATTGACTATTAGTGTTGAGGGTGACTGTTACCTGAGTGTACCGCCCGACCCGGGTATTGGGACCAGTGAGGCTGCAGCTCTAGGTGCTAGTGCGTCTGTGATGGCAAGATCGAGCTCGCGGCTGCAGCATTGACCAGAGATGAGGGACTAGTGCATCAGGCGGCGGATTCTCAGGAAGCACAGCCTGTCGAGGAGCAGCATGGGCCACGACAGCGTGAGGAGCTGCCCTGGGTCAGGGCGGCCCTCTCCTCATGCACCGCAGTTGACACCGCCATCCTCACGGGCGGATCGTACGCCCCACCACCTCCGCGACCGCGGAGACCCCACCAGCGACCGCGACCGCCGCGGTTCGCGTGCCACTGGGCCTGCTGATGGTGGCGACGGGGAGAATTGCGCCGGCGCCGTGAGGACTCACGATCCTGGTGGGGAGCGGGAGAATGGGGGCGAGATGGGCGGCGGCCAGGCGACGGCGGGCGAGACGGCTGCGCCACTGGAGCAGTGGGTGGCACCACGGGTGCAGCCGGATCCCCAACCGGCGGCGCAACCAATGAGGCCGGGCCGCCAGTGGTGGCGGACGCTGCCTGCGGGGACGAGGCAGAGGCAGGAGTCGGCAACTCAGGCGCGGCAACAAGTCCCGCAGGCACGGGAGCCGAGGGGTCGGCGACAGACTCCGGCGGCGCAGCAGGGGGCGCCTGGGGATCAGCCGGCACAGCCGGGGCGGACGGCACAGCAGCAGCAGTTGCAGGAGTCTGAGCGACAACAGTCGCAGTTGAACCAGGCGCACCCGCGACAAGGAGAGCCGCGGGTCTGGGGCGAGGAATCTGTCAAACATTGTATATGTTTCTGTTTTGTAGGCTACAGTGGGTTAGCCTTTAGGGTGTACATTTCTCTAGGGTTTCATACTTGTACTCCCAAATGTTTCTAGTTGATCACTTCTTGTTTCTGACATGGTATTAAGAGCTTAGGTTCTAGACCTAGGACTTACCTAAGGGCCCACCGTTAGAAGTGCCCTCGAGCGCCGTATCAACTTAGCGCCCTCGAGCGCCGCTCTCCTAGTGTGCCCTCGTGCGCCTCTCCTTCTCCTGCTGCCCGTGCGCAGCTCGCTAGTGCCGCGCGCGACCTTTTTTTTTTTTTTAGCGTGCGTCGCCCGCTAGCAGCCCGCGCGCGGCCGTTTCTGCACGCGCGCCGACCGTTAGCCGCCCACGCCGCCACGAGCAGCCTGCTAGCCACCCGTCGACCGGCCCTCCTGGCCGCGCGTAGCCAGCTAGCGGCCCGCAGCCCCGCGCGTAGGCCGCGTCGCCCTCGTAAGCCGCCGCCCGCGCGCGACTGCAGCCCACGCACAGCCGCGGACCGCCCGCGACAGCAGCCCGCGCACAGGCCCACCGTCGCGCCGTGCCGTGTAGTCTAGTCCGAGCCGCGCCGCGCCGCCCTGCCCGAGCCGCGCCGCCCGAGTCGCGCCGCCCGAATCGCGCCGCCCTGACCGAGCCGCGCCGTCCCACCTGCAGCAACTACTGCTCCTGTTCCTGCTACTGCTTCTACTGCTACTGCTACTACTGCTACTGTCACTACTGCTACTGCCACTATGGCCACTCCTACTGTTCTCACCGCTGAGGGCCGTCCGATTAAGTTCGATGTCTGGCTCGATGACCTTCACCTGTACCTCCAGATCACTGCCAAGGACGATGTTTCCCTCTATGACCACACGTCCGGCGCTGCTCCCGCACCTGCTGCTACTGCTGACAGTACTGCTCGCTCACAGTGGCAGACTCGTGACGCCCGTGCTCGCCTAGCCGTTCGCAGCCACCTGCCGTTAGATGAGCGCGAGCACTTCGGCCAGCATAAGACCGCTAAGGAGCTGTATGATGCTGTAGTTGCCCGCTACTCCTCCCCTGCCACTGCTGCGATAGGCCGTCTCTCGCTGCCCTACCTCTTCCCCGATCTGTCTGCCTTTGCCACTGTAGCTGACCTCATCACTCACCTCCGTACTAGTGATCTCCGCTACCGTGCCGCACTCCCCCCCGATTTCCTAGCCAAGAACCCCCCCCCCCCCCCCCCGATGTACCTCACCCTCTACCACCTGGTCACTCGCCTCCCTGACTCTCTTCGCGCTGTCAGGGACCACTTTCTCGCTCTCTCCCCCACAGACCTCACTGTCGACCTGCTCGAGAAGGAACTCCTAGCAGCTGAGAAGAGCATTGTAGCTGTAGGTGCCTCTCGTGGCGACCCTCGCACACCCTTCTTTGAGGGATGCTCCCCCTCCCCCCTTCTCCCCTCCATTGCATCTGCTGCTGCTGTCGACTACATCGGTGCTCAGGGGGTCGGAGCTGCGTTCGCTCCCAGTGGGAGGCGCAAGGGCGGCAGGGGCAAAGGGGGAGGAGGCGGCGGCGGGGGAGGTGGTGGTGGAGGGGGTGGAGGGGGCGGCGGCGGTGGCGGCAGTGGTGGGAGTGGTGCTGGTAGTGGGGGGGGCAGTGGCGGAGCCGGGGGTGGTGGAGGCGGCGGTGGTGGAGGTGGAGGTGGTGGTGGTGGCAGTGGTGGCGGCGGTGGAGCTGGTGGAGGGCGCGGTGGATCGGTGCAGCGTGGCGGGTTCGACGGCGGCCAGAGGCAGCAGCAGCAGCGTCCCAGCGAGCCCCAGTCGCCCCAGCAGCTCCGTGAGTGGTACTCTCAGCGTGGGGGGTCTGGGGGTGGAGGTACCTGCCCGTACGTCATCCGCACAGGTGACCGCACTGGCCAGACATGTGGGAGGTTTCACACGGCGCAGCGCTGTTTCTTTCGCCTCGACGACGCCTGGCGCGAGTAGTTTCCTGACGCCTCTGAGCTGCCCCGCTGGGCTGATTTGCTTAAGAAGGGGATTGATATCTTTGCTCTTGATTATGATGCTATCCTTGCT